GAACAAAAAATAAAAATAAGCGTTAGAAACAAAATGGCCAGATGTCATCACCCCAAGCAAAGCGCACATGAAGGCACCCTATTTCTGCCTATTAAACAACCTTGCTGGAGCTCTGCGCGTGTGGAGCACGAGACGGCACGAGCCCTGGCATGCACAGCCGTCTTCTTCCCGTGAACTAAAGTTATGGCGGCGTCACGCATGCGCCGAACGCTTAGTGAGATCGATCTATTATTTTATTTCAGCACGCTAGAGTTTAAATTTGCGACTATTCTTAACTGAAAGTGAAATGCACGTGACGTTGTCTTCACGTGTGTTGGCAGTAATAATTGCGTTGTGGAAATGGCTCCGTGGGAGCTTGGCCCAAACCCCGAACGCGGACCCCACATTCGCAGTGTCGCCTAATGCTTCAGTGAATTTTTCTCGTCAAGGTTGCCGTCCCTGGCTAAGTCAACAAACTCAGCACCATGAAACTCCCCTATTCTACTAATCTCGTACAATCTCTTATACATATATGTACTTTCAACTTTATCTAGAAAAAAAAAACAAAAAAAACTTTCAGCCTTTCCATTTTGGTGAAGAAGGAAGAGCAGCGGAGCTGTAGCTTCTGTTCTCGGCGGTGGCTTTCCAGGCGAGTGATCTGCTCTTCTTTCGCAAGGGAATCTGAAGCGCTCGACGCAGTGGAACTTGAGGCGATAGCGGCCTCACGGCGGTTGCGTAACTATTCGTGCTGCTGCGCAGATTGCCGTTCATTCGGCTACCGCTCTTCTTCCTCCAAAAAAAGGTTGCCGCCATCTATGAACGACGGGCGGCAATCAATTGTCTGGTTGCCGCCGTCGCTCATAGATGGCGGTAGCTGTCCAGAGTTTGCTGTCATCATTTCTTTGCTGGTGGACCCGATCCTGGGGAAACTAGCCCTTAACAGCTCCCCTGTAAAATACCTTCACCACGCTACGCGAATCCTTCAGGGTCATCACAGCGCACTCTTACTTCGCAAGCTCATCACAGGGGGAATATGCGGCGCTGGCGGCGCCGCCGCTTCCGCCGCTCCAGCCCGGCTTGGGCCGGCTCCTCCCGTTGACCAAGGTGCACCGGCGCCAACGAGATAGAGAGGCTTTAGAACAATAAACTGGTATCCCGTTCACCAGAAAAAAGTGACCCCCACTTGGCTGCCGCCATGTCGTAAAATTTTTGACCACTAGACACGTGACCGTATCAAATCCTGAGGCTTTTACGCAAAACTGAGCCGAGATTTGTACAGTGATCGCTGCAGAAAAAAAGTGCAAACCCTTTACAACTCCCTGTAACGCCGAATTAGAGCGCAGCTCTTGAGGAGGAGGAGGGAAGGGTACTGGGGGGGTCAAGTGACCTTGAGTGGGGGTCACGTGACCTAGGGGGTCACGTGACGATGACGATGCCGATGACGTCATCAGTAACGATGACGATGCGGATACCGATGACGTCATCAGTGACGTCACTGATGACGTCATCAGTGATTATGACGATGACGATGCGGATGCCGGTAACGTCATCAGTGACGTCACTGATGACGTCATCAGCGATGATGACGATGACGATGCGGATGGTGATGATGACGATGACGATGCGGATGCCGGTGACGTCATCAGTGACGTCACTGATGACGTCATCAGTGATGATGACAATGACGATGCGGATGCCGGTGACGTAATCAGTGATGATGACGATGACGATGCGGATGCCGGTGACGTCATCAGTGACGTCACTGATGATGTCATTAGTGATGATGACGATGACGATGCGGATGCCGGTGACGTCATCAGTGGCGTCACTGATGACGTCATCGGGGGTCACGTGACCCCGGGGGTCACGTGACTTGGGGAACCACGTGACTTTGGGTGTCACGTGACCTTGGGGTCACGTGACCCTGTGGGCGGGGTCACGTGACCTTGGGGTGACCTTGGGGAGTCACGTGACCTTGGGTGTCACGTGACCCTTGAGGAGAGGTCGCGTGACCTTGGGGTGACCTTGGGGGGCAAGTGACCTTGGGATGACCTTGGTTACGCCGACGGCGACGGCGACGGCGACGCCGCTCAAGCCGGGAACGGGCCCCTAAGAGCTGCGCTCTAAAACATGATAAACAATTTATTCAATACTGTTAGCCTCAAAGATCAGTGCCTAGCTCCGATAAAAACCCAAAATACAGCACCGCGGCTCATGGCACCTAGCGGAGGCATTGCGAATCTGCCCGAGTTTTTGCCGTGAAATCACCATTTTGGACTTAAAACAAACGAAACATAACTTATTTCGTCGGTACTGTTATTAACAATCAATAAGCAATTATTTGTGCGAGGTACTGTTAAAATCTAGACGCAAAACTATAAGGTCACGTTCCTAGTGGTCAAAAATGTGCAACTTGGCGGCGGCCAATTGGGGTGTCACCTTCAGCTGCCAGTTTATCGCTCTAATGTCCTCTACCTCGTTGACCGGCGCCGAGTCTAGCACACTGTCATCGGAAGCTTCTCACTACGCCGGCGCGCGTCCCTGCCGGTGCGCTCGACGCTTCCGACATCTGTCGGCGGCAGATTTAACTAGTCGAGCCGGCTCACGACGTCGTCTGCGAATGCCATGGCAGATAGCCCGAAAGAGGTTTTTCTCTTTACTTTATGGAATGGTAGCCTCATATCCGTTGATGTTTTCATTCCCTGCTTCCACCACGTGGTTGCACCTCTGTAGTAAATCTCAGCACGATACGTTGAGAAAACGATTTTTGCGGGTGTCTGAAGTGCCTTAGAAGCATTAGTTTACATGGTGTACAATGTACGAGGCAAACATGTTCGACCATTCTTGAGGCGCGTTCGCAGATGTCATCATGGCTGCAGCGAACACCGTGTGATGCATGTGCATAGTGTGACAGCGCATGCATCACACAGCATGCAGTAAATGAGAAATAACACTTGGCAACGGATAAAACAATTACGATCAAAATTGATCTAAGGCACTGACGAACGAATTGCAGGTGGCGCCACCTGGGGCCCTAAACTCGTCAAACGCAAAGTTTGAGCCGAAAGTTCTCGGAGCGCTCCAATTGGAAGTCGACGAAAAAAGCGCGAAGTCATCGTCGTGATTGGCCGATCGGTTCATTCCGTCAACTTCGGCCCCAACTTTGTGTTTGGCGAGTTTAGAGGTCCAGTAATGCTACGAGGCAGGCCATTCCAGTCACGGACAGATCTAGGGAAACAAAAAAAAAAAAAGAATATTTAAAAATATATTTTCGAAATTGAAACTTAGCAAGGTTTCCATGCTTCTGCCGCGTGTCGTGACTGAGATTTTACATCATAGAATTCTCGACCTTCATTCCGATCTTATCATGCATTAACATGTACAAAATTTCAAACGCTTCACTTCTCTGCGGGGCGATAGCTGGGTTGATCCGGATGACGCATAAATAGACGATACAGAGGTATGCATGCCGTATGCATCATAAATAAAACGAAGTGTCTTTTTTTGGATTCCTTCCAATTGGTCAATAAATGACTGAGAATATGGGTCCAACAAAATGTCCGCGTATTCCAAAATTACACGAGTACACTAAGGCTGTTTACGTGTAGTAAGGCGAAAGCCAGTCAAGGAAGACGTCTAGGATAACGTTTAGGACGACGTCTAGGACGACTTCTAGGATGACCTCTAGGACAACCAGAGGGACGACGTCGAGGTGGACGCCATCTAGGACGACGTCGAGGACGACGTCTAGGCAGACCTCTGGGACGACCTTAAGGACGACATCAATGACGACGTCGAGACGGCGCCGAGAGGAGGACTTGCTAAATGTCATGTTACATCAGTTATTTTCACTGCGTTTTTTTTGTGTGTTTTTGGTGACAGTGCCGCTCTGCCCTGTGTATTGGGGGGCAGGAACTCGTCAAGCTGCAAACTTGCAGCTTTTTTTCCTGGCCCTCTTTGTCACATGTGTGTAAAAGCGCTGTGACAAAAATAAACTGATTCTGATTCTGATTCTGATTCTGATGTCAAAAAGCTGTGGCGTATTTGCATGGGCGGCCACGTCTGCCTGCAGAAGCCGCCGTAGATGTAGACGCTGCTGCCAATATTGAGGCCGTAGATGTAGACGTACGTGATCGCCTCGCAGTCCAACGCACGAAGCAGACAACGAGCAGAGATGAAGTCCGAAGCGCACCTTTGGCAACCGGCGCTCCGGCGGTGACATCACGCTGATGTCGTATGATGACGCTTGATGACATCACTCTGATGACACTTGATGTATTTTTATGGCCATATTTTGGCACAACAACGCCGACACCGTTTGTTTTTCACGTAATGTGGCAAGTAAGGTCGTCTTAGAGCTCTAGGACGACGTCTAGGACGGCCGCAAGGACGACGCCAAGGTAAGGGGATAAGTAGGGTCGCCCATTGAAAGGCGCGTGCCGTACAATAGCGTTTTTGTGGCCATTTACTCAGATCTTTCGCTCAATGGGACAAGTAAGGCATAATAACGGGCGAATCAAAGAAGTTTACGCCACTAGCTTGGTTTCCGGAGTGCCATGTCGCATAGTCCTTTGAAAACACCACAGGTTTTGGGACGTGTTTGCTATAATATTCTCGAAGTGAACGAACCAACTGTAATTAGATGTGATGCTTACACCCAAATACTTGTGAAAAGTGATACATTCTAAGGGTGCTGAGTTGATAGAATAGCAAAACAAAAGTGAATACTTCTTTCGTCTAACTGTCATTTTCCCGCATTTTTTCCCGTTCAAATTCATCTGCCACGCCTGACACCAGAAGAACACAGTTGTAGGCTACCATCTAAACATTTCTGATTGAAAATGCATGACACTTTGGAAAACAAAACACAGGCATCAGCAAACAAACGGCACCGAATCCCTGTCTTACCTATTCCTAGATCGTTGATAAACACCAAAAAGTACAAAGGACCGAATACGGAGCCCACGGCTACTCCTGACAGTACTGGCAATAGGCCTTATGCGAAATAGCTTGGTGGTCTGACAACACTGAGAGCGTCGCCATATTGAGTTTGTCAATCGTCGTGAGAGAAAACCGAAGCCGCCCAAGCACTGGAAGCATCGGAAACACCCCGTACGGGCAGTGTGCGATGGCAGGGCCGCGGTGTTTTCCGCCTTCCGACCATAGAATGTGGAAAAACAGCCTGACTAACTTGCCTCCGCTATCGGACGAAACTCTCGGGGGCCTTTGCACGATGGCGACAACCTCGTCAAAGCAGCGGAGCAAGTCCTACGTCTTCGCTGTGGAAGCCTACACAGTGCCGTCTTCCGTGCGGACGAACATCTGCGATTCAAGGTACTGTGAACTATGGCCTCTTTGTTTAACATCGTAAATAGGTGCGGTGCTTAATACTTTGTAATCAAAGAGTTGCGGCTGTATGCGTACGTGTGTGTGACGAGCGCTCTGCGTGCATTTCATAGCGCGCGCGGGCGTGGTATTGGCGCGTTCACACCGGCGATGCGATCTAGTCGCGCGATAACTTTCATCGCAAAAGCGACCATTGCGGGAAAGAAAGTGACACGATTTGAGCTGTCGCTACAGGCGCATTCCCACCGGCGATGTAAGCAGTGGTCACACCGGCCTTTTGCGATGCGATCTAGTCGCGGAGCGGCTGTTCGGAGCGAGAGTTTTCGAGAAGCGACTCGCCAACGAAGGCGTTGAACTCGCTCATCGCGCACGCCAGTGTGACTATCTAATTTTTTTGCGATGTGATCTAGTCGCATCGCGCGACTGCTTTCATCGCCGGTGTGCACACGCCCGAGATCGGACGCATGGGCCCGTGTTTCTTGCGACGCACTGACACGCTAGTGACAGTTATCGCATTGCAATTTGCTGTTTTCATCGCCTTTCTGCACCCCCTTCCCCCCCTCGCACACACGCACAATCGCTCTAACTGTGCAAATAATGACCGTTATGAGCCATGCGAACACTTGACGCTGTCTCGTATGCTTGTCTGCTCTAGCGTTACAGCCCATGACAAAATGCTGTATGAGGGGGAGGGTGAGAGGAGGCCCTGGCAAAATGGTAGATTTGGGGGGGGGGGGGGGGGAAGGGAAGGGGGGAAGCCGGGCCCCATGGGTTCCCCCCCTGGCTACGTAAGTGATTGTAGCGTTGTTATTGGTAGAAAAGCAAAAAGTATTTTAAGTGCAGCTTGTAAATTTTTTTTTTTTTTTGTTATTGTTGCAGCCTTGGGATCGTCTACGGCCGAGCGGTGTGCTACCGGAGCCAGAAAAAAACTGGTCTGCCCTACAACGTCCTCCTGGCGTTCAAGGCTGACAGCGGTGAAGTTACAGAATCAAGATGCGCGTGCCCTGCTGGTGCAGGGGGTGCGTGCAGCCATATACTTGCTGTTCTACGGCTGTTTATTTTGTTGAAGAAAGAGGGATTTAAAGAGGCACCGCCTGAGCTCTCATGCACAGAACTTCCCCAACAATGGGGGCGCCCTCGCCGACAAGGCATCAAGCCGATGAGCGTCCAGGATGTAGACTGGAGGAGTTCTCGGGAGGGTGGCATGGAGATGGCAATGCCAGTGCAGCTCTACGATGCACGAGCTGAGAAGCAGGAGGACGAACAACAGCTGCAGTCTTTTCATGCACTAGAAAGGGGCCTCGAGAACATTGGAAACTTTGACTTCGCGTCAGTTCTCCTAGCAGCACGAAGGCAGTCTGTGGAAACAAAACTCGGACCTGCCCCTGCCGGCTCTCCAATGTCCTACCAGCAAGCTCAACTACCTGCAGGCTTCACAACATGGATGTCTGACAACATTGTCATGGGAGCAGGCACCATCAGCTTGGTTCCAGTACCGTCTTTCTTCGACAGAGCTTCACAGCCAACATTCCCTGGCGGGTTGAGCGCTCAAGAATTGAGCATATTGACAGTAAGTGTTGTCAATGCGGATGACGTGCCATCAAGGGTGTCATCAACAGTACTGCCACAGTGTTCATGCTGTTCAGTCGGGCGGTGATAGGGTAAATCATTTTGCTGGCTGTAAACAGTGTTCCACAACAACAATGGCATAAGTAAATGCGTCTTACATGTAGTGCACAGCTCGTAAAGATAAACCACTGCCGGACTGAATGCACACTCTCTCTTACGGCCTGTGCAATGCGGCGTGATACTGCCTTTAGTACTATTGCGGACTCTGTTAGCTATAACACGGCAGCCGTGGCTGATCCCTACCCCTACGACACATAGCAGTTGCCCTCTGAAACACCGCACCTAGTCTGTGCGCCAGAATTGTCCTTCCAGGTTAATGCCACACAAGGTCACAACCTGCAGTGAGCATGCGCAGGTGGAACAGTCGATGAGAAGAGCTGCAGCGCCTCATGCAGAACGGCATGCATGCTTCTGCAATTCTGAAGGTTGTATGAAAGCACAGGAATCCAGTCCGGCCGTGGACAAACAAACACAAGTGTTGTAACACTTCACTAGTGTCGTATTGCACGAAGCACTGAACAACATTAAAATTTTGGGTCAAAATCAGATTCCATGTTGCGATGATCAGCGTAAACATCAAAGCAAGCTTCGCTTAACACCGATTCCCACATGATGTGGGATCCACATATTTTATTCTGTCCTGCTTTGCTTTGGCGGCAAGCAACAATGTAGCTGCACGGTGTACGACCGCTCCAAAGCCAGCCTGGTCACATGTAGCTGAATTTGCGCTTGATGCCTAAGTGAGACCAGCTGCAAAACACAAAGCTAAAATGCATCTTAAAGCCTGGAAAGACTTTGATGCATATTATTTTACTTTTTGTGGAGGTGGTAAAAAGCGTTCACAGTTCAAGAGTGAAAGGTTGTTCCAGTTATCAGTCTCAACAAGTGCAGCGATTGTAAGGTGGGCTAAATTTGCAGGTTAACATGTTGAACCAGCGAATGGCATCTGGCACGCCCCAGTGGGAGACAGGGTTAATTTAGACCACCTGGCAATTTTTGACAGCAACCCAACCCCAATCTGAGTTACACAGTGCCTTTCCGCATTAAGTCTCAGTCAAGTTGCGGGCAGCTCGGCCAATATTGAAACCCGCCGACTGGGGATCCATATGCTAGCACATTGCATCTGAGCCACCGAGGCGGCTAGTGTGGCAAGTGTAAAATGCTGTGTTTTGTTTTTTTCGCAGGAAATCCAGCTTTCACCAGAGGAGGCGAGAGACCTGGAGCGTAATACCAGGCAGCAGCGACACAGTCAACGCTGGAAGAAAGCACGGCTGAACAGACTAACTGCATCGCGTTTCGGATGTGTCATCACACGCAAAGAGTGGACGGAGAAGGGCCTCAAGAACCTAATTGAGCCAAAGGACCTGACACGCGTTCGTGCTGTTCAGTACGGGATAAGAAACGAAAGCATGGCCAAGGACCGGTATGTTGCTGTGATGAAGAACTATGGACACAATGTGTCAATTCAGCCCAACGGCCTTTTTGTAGATCCATCATGCCCCTGGCTAGGTGCAACGCCCGACGGACTAGTCTATGACCCAGAAGAGCTGTCGTACAGTATTCTAGAAGTCAAGTGCCCACATTCTCTCAAAGACAGTGAGCCAGACTATGCAAAGAAACAAAAGTTTTCTCTAGTTTTTGGAGAGAATGACAAGCCACAGCTACACAGAGACCACGATCACTATGCCCAGGTTGTGGGGCAGATGGCTCTGACTGGCTGTTTGTGGGGAGACTACGTTGCTTGCTCGGAGAAATGGATCGGCGTCGACCGTATTCGATTTGATCAAAATGAATGGCTCGAAATGCGCAAAAAGCTGGACAGCTTTTTCTTTGCATACAACCTTCCCTATCTTGTCAGGAGGCAGGACACGTGCTAGTGTCTAAAACAAAAGGCAATGGGTAAAAGCCACTTGGAGAGTGGAAATGCTTTCCTCACATTCCTAAGTAGCACACTTGACCGGCGTAAGCTAGAGCCATACCTGGCCCAAGCTTGCGCCGGTCAAGTGTCCTACTTGGGTTATGTACACATTGCGACATTGTTAGCGCAAACACAACATAACTGCATTTTCTCATTTACTTTGAACGAGTATTAGTGGGGTGCAAAATTTTACCGCCTACATTATAGCCCTAAATGATCCCTTTCCATTAAATAAAACTAATTACACTGTTTCGATTTCAAAAGGAAAAAAAAAAGTGATAGCTTTTTTGCGCTAACAACGTCGCACTCTGAACGGCACCATACATTTCAGCACTATCGTTATGGACTGTAAAGGCGCCCTGGTGTTGCCGTGTAGGGGGAACCTTACGGATTGCTGTGTTTGCAGTAGTTATTGCTTTCCAACGTTCATTTCCAAGCTGTCTAGTGAGAGGTGTTAGTGCTAAAGATGTTGAGTTACATACATTTCTGGATCTGCATGTTGGTGATATTCACTAGTCGCAGCTACTGCTGTAATGAGCAGACACTACTGCTAAACTGAAAGTGACATTTTGTACTAAATTTTATTTTGTTCACATTCAATATGGAACCGACAGATAAAGAAGAATCAGGAGCGCCATATTTATCTCTACTTTAAACACCGGTTAATTCGCACAGACTTCTTTCCATTTTAGTTTGTAATAACAGGTTTGCAATGTTCTAACATTATTTGTGTGACTGCTTGTGTGAATATACCATGTCTGCCTCATGCCAGTTTCAAGCACCCTGTCGCAAAATAAAGTGTTACTGTAGATTCTACACCAACTCGTTTGTAAATAAACCCGTTTGCTCACAGCAGCTGTGGGCACCGCGCACGTGCAGAGGCCTGTTTACGAACGAGCTACACATATACGCGTGCTCCGTTGCGAGGCCAGTGTTGCCGAATGGATGCGACATCGGAGACGTGAATTTTTGTATATGGTGGGAACGAAAAAGACGGGCAATACAAAAGTTTCAGAATTTATGCAGTTTTAATATCTTGTCGAGCTTTGGCACAGCATGCTATCGCACTACTCTGCAACTGCTACGGTGACCACATTCTAGAAACAAAAACGCATTCAATACAACTATTTTCCCCCAAAAAATGCACAAGCATGGGGTCCAGGATAAGGATTTTTACTGCGAGGGAGAGATAGGGGTGATACTACGTCACACAACAAGAAAGTTATTTTGTGAAAGCCCACAGGGTAATATACATGTATGGCCTCCATACTTGTCACTACTCAGTGCACCATTTCAGGCATGCTACCCAAATGCTGAATAAGCGAGCACTGAAAATTGCTGAGGATTGCTGCCACAGTCCAAATCTGGTTAATCAGTGGAGCCAAGGTAAGAGGTATGGGCCGATCAAAAATGTGATACGCCTTTATCCTTTGTATCCTTCGCTCCACATGTATTCGCAGTGAGGCAATCTCTTTGGTTTCTTCGACTTGACTGGGCGAGAATGTGCGGCCCTTCAAAAATGGGGGCAAGTTCAGCTTCACACCTCTTTTTTCCAAAAGGTCGTGGATGCGAAACCCTTTATCCGCCATTACGGCATCACCAGCATCAAACTCTAAGTCTAGAAATCCACTCCTTATTACACATTCTCTGTCTGAACTTGAGCCTGTAAAAAGCTCTGAAACAAAAGCTACAAGCCCGTTCGGAGAGACACCAATAAGGCCCTTGAATGTGTTTGTGGACTTGTATGACGAATAGGTAGATGACTGGAGAGACAAAGAAGAGGGCACCTCACACTTAATTTCAGTGGCATCCAAAATTACTCGTGTCGACGCATACTTTTCAGCAAACTCTGGTGGCATGGTCGCATCAACTGTTTTCCTAGGCGCCCACAGAGGCAACACGCTTAGTTTGGCATACAGAAAGTTCATCCACGATTTGCAAATTCTTGAGACTGTCGATTGTGCGATAAAAAATCTATGAGCTAAATCTGCCTCAAATAGACCAAGGCGTAGCCGAACAAGAACTAAGAATAGTTCGTTTTCGGTGCTCAGCTTTCGTTTACGCCCCTTCAATGATCCTGTTCCGCTGCTGCTCTCTGCACGTAAAACGTTGCAGCCACCATCCCCGGGGTTGATGTAAAGAAGCAATTCAACAAAGTGTTTGTAACTTGGAAGGCCGGTATAGAACATAACGTCTTCATCACTGTCCTTGAATCGTTGGTTGGTAAATGGAGAAGCGTCTTCTTTTTCTTGAGCAAGTTGGCAATCAAGAGAGAGCTTCTCTGCTTGCAGTTTCCGAATTGTTTCTCTTGCCATTTCCAACTGATGTCGGAGAAGTCCACACTCATCTTGAAGCCTTCCAATTTCTTTGTTCAAGCCTTGAATGATGCTTGCCAGACGCGCACTGTCTGTTGCAGGCAATGTGCTGTGGTCAGTAGGCTCCAGTGGGTTTTCAGCCGCAGCCTGCACTTCATTTGTGCAACACACCGCTGGATCATCCTGCATAGTGTTGTCTATTTGTTGGGATCTTGGCGCTGGTGCATTAGCCTTTAGCTGTGGCGGTGCACGCTTTTTTGGAGGCTTTCGCACTGTTTTCTTTTTGGAAAAGGAGAAAACGGATGGCACTGCCGTATCACGAAGGAGCTTTCGGCCACTCACAACGCTGGGTATGTAGTCACTTTCATGAAAGTGTTTCGAGCACAGCTTCGTCCACTTGCTTACTTGAAACTCGGGGCCTTCATCCCTTCTGATCGCGACAATCCATTTTTTGTAGACCATGGGATCTTTAGGGAAGCGATGGAAGGATACCTACAAGGAAAAAGCAGAAGGAAAGTTTAATGAAAAAGTGAAAGCCGTTTACAACTTCCTGTAACGCCGAATTGGAGCGCAGCTCTTGAGGAGGAGGAGTGGAGGGTATATTCCTCCTCCTCCCTCGTGATCATGCCTGCTAGTCCTCCTCCCCTCCTGCTCCCCCTCCCTCTCCTTTACCCCTCCCCCCGAGGTCACGTGACCCCCCCGGACCATACTAGACAATGAGGGGAGGAGGAGGAGGGGGAGGAGGAGGAAGAGGGCAGAGATCCGGGGGGTCACGTGACCTCGAGGGGACGGGATCACATGACTTTGGGCGGGCCGTCACGTGACTTCGGCGGGGGGAGGGGAGTCACCCCCCGGGGTCACGTGACCTTGGCGGGGGAGGAGGGGGGAGGAGGAGGAGCGGAGGGGGAGGAGGAGGAGGGGGAGGGGCGACGCCGACGCCGACGCCGACGCCGCACAGGCTGGAAACGGGTCATGTGACCCCCTCCCCCCGAGGTCACGTGACCCGCCCGGACCACAGTACACAATGAGGGGAGGAGGAGGAGAAGGAGGGGGAGGAGGAGGAGGGGGAGGAGGAGAGGGAGGGGCGCGGTTACGCCGACGGCGACGCCGACGGCGACGCCAACGGCGACGCCGACGCCGCTCAGGCTGGAAACGGGCCCCTAAGAGCTGCGCTCTAATATTTCAAGCAGGGCTCACTTTCACTCTGGCTCACAAATAGCCAAGCATAGTTCCGAATCAACAGCAGCGTTTGTGAATGAATGCGCGCAAATGCCATCGCAAATGTGTTGAAGTAACCCCACAGGCAACGTAAGCTGAAACGCTCGATTCGCCCTTAGTCTACGTATGTGGTTTCCACAAGCTCCATACTTTCTCAATTTGTCAAATAGTTCAAAGTACGGCGTCTTACCTATGCATTTCATATTGTGGTGAAAGAAACAGGCAGGAGACGGACGTTCCAAAACAACGTTCTATTTCAGTGGTGTCTCGGCAGGAACTGCTCTTCGTGAGCGCGTGAGCGCGTGAGCGTATAGCTAGCGCGCGCGTCTCTTTTTCTCTTTTTTGCTGTGTCGAGACTGGACTCGCTTGTCGGTGCGTCCAGTCCCTACAGATATGCCCCCCCTTAGAGAGGAGGTAGGACGAACGATCAAAGCACAGAAACATTCGAGTGCCAACGAAGTTGGCTTTTCTCTGTCGTCTGGTCGATGTCACGTAGCGCTATTCCCTGCACATGCTCTTGCTCAATATGTGCCGGCTTTAGTCTCTCCAATGCAACGGTGTCATTCTTGCCGTTGACACGCAGGACAAACGTGTCGCTTCTCTTTTCGACCACTGGAAAAGGTCCGATGTAATGTGGGCGCAGTGGCTTCTTTTGCGATTGTCGTACGAAAACATGAGTGGCGTCTTGGAGGTCCTGGGTCACGTAGGGAGACTTTGAAGTTCCTTGCCGTGTAGGCACCGGTCGCAAATTGATAAAAATTTGCTTGAGTTGTTCTACATAGTCCAACTGCCTTTGTTGTTGAGGCAGTTCCACTTCAAAAAAATCTGATGGCAAGCGAAGTGCAGTGCCGTACACCAGCTCGGCGGTGGAGCATCCGATGTCCGCCTTCAAGGCTGTCCGGATTCCAAGAAGCACAAGGGGGAGATGACGAACCCAATCCGAGGGACCACCCTGAGCTGCAAGGGCCGATTTCAAATGTCGATGAAATCGTTCTACCATCCCGTTCGACTGTGGGTGGTAGGCAGTCGTTCTCAAGCGGTTGGTTCCGAGCAATCGAGTGAGCTCGGCAAAGAGTGCCGACTCGAATTGTCGACCCCTGTCGGTGACAATCTCTGAGGGGCAGCCAAACCGGGATACCCACGTAACGATAAACGCCTCAGCGACAGTGGCGGCGGTGATATCGGGCAGTGGGGTTGCTTCTGGCCATCGTGTGAATCTGTCGACACACGTTAGGATGTAGCGCTGTCCCTGAGAAATCGGTAGGGGTCCTACTAGGTCCAGATGGATCTTGTTGAAACGGCTGTCAGGCTGTAGGAATTGTCGACTTGGTGGCACCGGATGCCGCTGTACTTTCGCGCACTGGCATGCGATGCAGGAACGCACCCAATCACGAACGTCGGATTTTATCCGGGGCCAAACGTAGCGGTCGCACAGGAGCTTCTGGGATGCTCGTATACCCGGGTGCGACAAGCAGTGAATCGCTTCGAAAAGCTGTCGTCGCAGTTCACGTGGTACAAAAGGCCTAGGCGTTCCCGTTGACAGGTCGCAGATCACGGTGGTGCCTTCTGGAAAGCTTACATCCCGCAGTTGCAGTGACGTGGATGAACTGCGCAGGGCTTGC